AAAAATTTACCACGCCACAACCGTTTAAGCGAGCCAACGCCTCAGAGATAGTTGTGATGATTTTCTGTACCATTTTCTATCTACATACATACATATGTATGAATTGCATTTATTTTTCAAGCCACATAGCCTACAATAGGCGAAGAAAAACTGAAAAAATTCAACACAGCTGCGAGCGGGTGGCGGGAATCCAGTTTGACCGCTCATTGTACTTTCAGAGGATTCGTTACGATTCATTGTGCTGCTGACTATGCATGCAGCCTGCGAGCCGCTCATATCGACTACAAATGGACTGCTCTGCCGTTCAACAGAATGCCGCATCACAGCACAGAGCACAGAGCACAGAGCACAAACAGCAATTCAATCTTCTGTGTTCTTCCCACAGCAATCCCGCTGTTTTGAACTCACAACTCGTATTTTTTCCTTTTATTTACTTCTATTCTTTGGTTGTTGTTGTCGTTGTTGATTTCTTTTGTTGCTTCGCACCTTTTCAACGTCTTTTACCAAGGCTTTTTACGGAACTGTGGAACTCTTTTCGAACTGTTTGCTGCTCTATGTTGGTATGTATGTACATATGTAGCTGTTGAACAGCGTGTAGGTACAATGGCACATTCGAACCTTTTTGTTGGTGTTTTCTTCACACCTCCATTGCAATTCAGTGGAAAAGATTACTGCCCAGTTGTTGTTGATATTCATTGTTATACTTTCTTGCTGTTGTTGCTATATTCTTCTCGCGCTAACACCAAAGATGTACATACACGTATGTATGTATGTATGCGTGTAGGAAGCATGGAAATGGCTGAGCTGAATCTAAAGCTAAGCCGGCTCACTGTAGATACATACAAGTATGTATGATTTTTGTTATGCCTACAGTGGGTATTGTGCATGTGTGGATTGTTTTTAAGTTGTATGCACATACATACATTCGTGTACATACATATGTAAGTTTCGTATGAAGTTCAGGCAGAGTAATGCCCACCAAAAGTGTGGTAAGCCACCAACAATTACTGTTTACCTACTGATGGGCTGAAAGGCTTTCGGCTTCTTGTCGGCTGTCGAATTTCGTATGTCGGGTGGTGGAAGTGTCGTTGCCGTTTCACACTTCATATTTTAAATATTGCTGGGCTTGTTGTTGTTTTTAGTGAGATTGTTCTGTTTTGGTGTGATACTAAGTTCAATCTTCATCCTACACATTAGTGAAGATTACCCTTTTTTTTAGGGAAAAAAGAACATGTAAGCAGCAGTTATGCAAATTTATTTTACACTCACATGTACATGCATATATATGTTCATTATTCTGTATATACATACATATGTATGTATATATCCTGCAGGGTTCTTAACTAGAACCCAACTAGTTAACATTTTACATGTTAGCGCAACTGGCCGCAGAAGCCGAGTGGTTTGCATCGCGTACTGACATTCAGAAGGCTCGGATTCAAATCCCTGTGCTACCAACATCCAAAAAAAGTTATGCAAAATTAATTTTCTGATTGCGTTCGCCCCTCCAAGTGTATTTCGGACATGAAATAAAGCTCCTCATAAAAACCATCTGCCGTTCGGAGGCGGCTTAGTATAAACTGCAGGTACCTCCATTTGTTGGAAAAAACATCAGGAGGCAAAACCACAAATTGGAGGAGTAGCCCGGCCGAAAAATAGCTTCAGCGGTTACAAAGCGCTAATTACTTATATAATATATAACTGGTAGTTTTAATACGGCGATGTCCTACGAACTGTCAATTCTTCATACCAGTTTTATACCAGTCAGTCTACATCGTACTAGTCAAAAACCAGTTCAATTGATTCCAGTTTGCGCCTAACAAATTCTACTACTCACCTATCTTAACACCAAAATCAATGAGAGGGACTGTATTCGTAAAATGTATATGTATTTATTTATTTAAATAAAAAACAAACGGGAAGGTAGCTAGGGACGGACCAATTTGAAAGAAAAAAAAAAACAATTATGATTCACATTTGGTACATTATTCCTTTCCAGGATTTGGATCAGATATCGATCTATGTATTTGAAGGTTAATTAGGACTACAATTGAACAAATATAAAAAACCAAAATAATATGTGACTGTTGTTGTTGTAGCGGTGGTCGGAACTTTTAGTTACTAATGAGTCCTGTTTTTTTTTTTGCAATACGACTAGACGGTATGAATTTGTCCGTAAAATACTAGTCCAGATTTTACCGAAAAAAAGAACAATTCTAGTATCTACTATTTATTTCCCTTAAATACTGGTATTATTCTGGTTTCCAACCAACTACAATAGTAGTCCTCAAAACCCCCTGCGGGTTAGGGGCTCAAGAATTTACCCGCGGTAAGGCATGCCTGTCGTAAGAGGCGACTAAAATCCAATAGTTCCCGCGACAGTCGGGTCTTTATACCGGAACGACCCGGATTTTTATCCGGCCAAGGACTGTCACTCCCGCAACATTCCCCAAAAAGTACTTTGGGGAATAATTTTGCGGTTACAACAACAACAACAACAACAACAACAGTAGTCCTCAAAATATTAGTAATTAACTGGAATTTTCGCATACTAGTCTACCTTTTACGTGCAGGGTATTTACATATACCTACTATATGAGGATCTAGAAACTATGTAGGCGATAAAGTTCTATATAAACTATATATAAATACAAATATACATGAGTATTTGATACTCATTCAATGTGCGACTCGAGAAATGTTGATTTGAAATTTTCTAGATTTGCAAAAATTCAAGCTACACCTTGGGATTACTAAGATTTTTACACATGTCATGGCATGGGAAATTTATAGATAAAATTGATAAGTAAGAAGTCAAAATGCTCGAAAATACTTGAGTGATGAGCACTAAACAAGCCTGCAAGTACTCGTTCCTGAAATATACGAACAAAATCGGTCTATATGGTAATGGCTTTGGCTTTTTCTCCATGTCAAATTGATGCTTCGGAAATATTTCATACACAAGAAAATAGAAGAATCTTTCTAGACAATCTATAAAGGAGGCTTGTAACTAATACCATATAACACTTAAACTTGAGAAATTTTGGAACACATTTTTATACATTTGCCAATGTTGAAAGTGGGAAAGTAGTAGTGCAAATGCAGCTAAAGAAGTAAAAGGAGGTGAGTAAAATTGTTACCCCTATATTTCCGAATATTATTTTAATTGCAATAAAGGCCTCAGTTCTCGCTCGCTGAAACAGCATTAAACCTTGCGGGTTGGTGTTCAAGAATTTACCCGCGGTAAGGCATGCCTGTCGCAAGAGGCGACTAAAATCCAATAGTTCCCGCGATAATCAGATCTCTGCACCAGGATGACCCGGATACCGAGTACAGCTAAGAAATCTTCAATATTCTCCGCAAAATGAAAAATTGGAAAATATTTTTGCGGTTACTACAACTGCAGCAATATGAACATCAAATCTGAAAACAACGGCTTCGTGATTAAAAAAAAAATCATTTTCGAAAACGAATTCAATTGAATTTTGATTTAAAAAAATATGAAAATATGGAAGTTTTATAATAAAAAAATAAATAATATCATAACTTTTTCCACGGAATGTGCGAGTTGCCGGACGATTAACATATTTTTCAACTTCATATTCAATTTAATTTCATATTACTAATTGTGAAAAAACATTTGACAGTCAGATCCTTAGTTACTTACAAAAAAAGACTAAAAATGAAAATATTAACTAATTTTAGGTAAAGGTCACATTTTTAATATATGTACGCCTTTAAGCTGACAACCATTTACAGTTATTGTTATTATTTAAAAATTAAGTAAAAATATTTATTTGTTTTGGTAGCCGAATAATTTTTGACTACAGTAGCTTTTGGAGAATGAAATGGGAGTGACAGTTTTTGGTCAGGTAAAAATCAGAGTCGTTTCGGTATTATAACCCGACTATAGCGGGGATTGTGGATTTTAGGAAAGCCTAATAAATGGGCAAATTGGACCCTTACCACGCAGGGAACTAAAAAATTTAAATCATTGTATACCACACAAAAAAACGCTATTTTCTGAGAAGCTCCAAGTTGTTCCTGAACATCACTCTCTTTTATTTATAGCAAACGTCTGTCTTCATTCCACACCGATTTTTAGTCAAGGTATTTTAAAAACAAAAAATTATTTTTTTTTTGTGTGTAAAAATGTAGTATTTTTTACGAAAATATTAACACATATATTTATATTCAATTTTACATTATATGCTTGAGTACCAATTACCAAGGAAACTCTGCAATTTTTTCTCGTCTTTACTTGCTCCGTTTGCTAGTTTATTATGTATTTTAACAAAAATTGAAATAATACATAACTGATAGAAATAAGAATCAACACATCCAGACACTGGAAAAAATATTTTTCCCATTAATTTTCAAATACCGGACGCACTATCCTGTCCGTATATTGCAAACAAGCTTAATTTTTATCGTTTCTATTAATAATAACTTCTTCCTTTAAAAATAAATCACTAACAAAAAAATTCTTTCACAGTTTTCGAATTTTTTGTAAAAAAAACCTTACTACTGTCTGGTTGCTGGGTGGTGTCCGTTCAATAGCACATTTACCGTATTTAGTTGAAAAAATCGCACATCAGTAAAAAATCCGCCCTTAGGACATTCTCCACTTTTTTGCAAAGTCAAATGCCTACATGCGCAAATGCGTATACACACATACATACGTATGTACATTTATATAAATACATTTATACAAATATATATGAATGTACATAAATATATGTGCATATATGAACATACGTAAGGAAAAAATAATAATAATATTCTGTGACCATTAAATTGAATAAAAGCAGCGTTTTAGTTTTATTTCACTCGATATGTACCTATTTTATATCAACCTACACATTTATGGACCAATAAAACTTCATAAAATATATCTACATACATATGTATATAATATATTGCTACATCTAAAATTGCATGCATACATATGTATATACATACATAAAATGCAAACAAATGACTTTCGACAAAATACTTACCACCCACTCAACATATATGCATATATTTCGTTTATTCCTCCAATATTCAAACAACAAAGATTTAAATAAATCTTTTTTTTACCAGATATAAATCCTTTAATTGGTAAAACTACTTTAAACTTAATTAAAAACTTAAAAGTTTGCACTTTTTTTTTTAATTTTTATTCGATTTTGGTATGTCGTTATTTTGGTCGCTATATTTTTATATAATTTTATGCACAATTTGTAGATCGTATTTTTTCACAAGAGAGCACTTGGAGAAATATCATTTAGAGGACGCACGCACATACTCTGTATATCTTTATACTTCAGTTTTCACCTTTATTATACTATCGAGTAGTTTTTGATAATTTTTATTAGCGCTCAAAAATAACATTTGCGCTCAATTCATATCCACGATATCATTCTATCAAACAACAACGCCACACTGACTGCCGCAGCCTCAGTGTCGTCGACAACGTTTGTCCGCCTGCCTTACGTTGATTTTATTTTGCTTTGTTTTTTTTTTCTAGCTTGCTGCTGCTATTAAACACACACATACTCCCACCACGTTTCATGCACTTAACGAAAAGAAGGAATAAAAAATACCATGCTGCTCTCTGCTGCTACCCCCTCAGTATACTTCTCTGATTTTGCAATTGACGCTGCTTCTAGTGTATACACAGGGATTGTATACCGACAACGACAGAAGTGTGAATGCACCGCAAACGAATACAACAAAAATAGCACCTCACATTCAACCATTTAATTTGATTTGATCTCGTCTTTTCTTTCTTCACACATATTTGTGTGTGTGTGTGTTTTTGTTTTCTTCTTTTTAGGCACTTTCTCGTTTAAATCTGCTGGTTTGGTATTGCTGCCCACCGCATCCGCTTGGTGCGAAAACAAAAACAATTCTACATAAAATGAAAAACAATACACTAAGGCGTCGCAGCGGACGCAAGCAATACAGCACGATTCCGTTTGTCTTCCTACGTTTGAATTTTTTCTTGTTTTTGCTTCGGCACTGATTTTGATTTTTTTAATTGCCTTTGCTTGTATACTTCTTGCTTTACACTTCTCCGTAATCAGAAATCCAGGCAATCTTGGATATATTTAATGCAAATTTCACTACATATCGTATCATTTGTTCCTACACTTGTCAAATATTTGTTTTATTTTTGTTTGTATAACTATTTAGGCACTTTTTAGATTTGTTTCTCATTGAAATATTTTATAATCCAAGGAAATGAAGACAGCAACTTTACTGCGTAAGCGCAAGCCCATAGAACGAAAAATACTAATTGTAGTTGCCATGCTTAAGATTTTGTTAATAAACTTTGCATATCAAATGTTGTGAGAGAAATAATTATCTCTTTATTCAAGATGCTGCATTAAAGAATCGGTATATATGCAATTCCAATGAATTTAATATTCTAAAGGAAATATACTAATTAATTCTTAAATCTTGTTAACGTGATAAATAAATTTTTTGATCCGACATCCTTTTAAAACACAGTGTTGCTGTTAAACTAAATAATCCCCATTGAATACATAAAAACCTGTATACATCCTCTATAAAATAAATAATAATATTATAATAAATAATAAATAATATTTTTCGTATGCTAAATATGTTCGTAACGAGTTTATATACATAAGTTTATCGCTTTATCTGTTTAGATGAAGTCTCCTATTGTAACGATTTCCACTAAATAGGCCTCAATGATTTCACAAATCCTTCGAGTTCGATCCCTCAGATGTTAAATTAAAAACAAAATTTGTTGTAAAATTACTTAGTTGTAAAGAATTGAATGAAAGATTTTGTTATTTATTACCGAATTAATAACATTTCGCTTTGCTTTTCCAACTAGTAACACTTTTATTTTCATTTTTCACTTGTTGCAAAGAACGTATATGAATTCATTTACGTCTTTTGTTCATATACGTTCTTTGTTATCGCTAAAAATAGGAAACAGCTGCTATCTCGGTATCAACCCTTCTAAAGTTGGCAACTCAAAGTTTACAAAACAAAATAAAACAATTAAGCCATATGATTTTGACATTTTCAAAACAAATGTAGAAATATTATATTTTAGACGCAATGGTTATTTTACAAAGAATATATCGCACAAATTTAATGTATCATTTTCAACGTGCCACAATAGCTGCTATCTCCGGACGAGCCAGTTATGAGCTGAAAAAAACTTCCACTATCAACTTGCAGAATCGTTCAATCTGGGGTTACGTAGCGATAGCATTCAACAGAGTTGATAAGGATCGTCTCTCCAAAGTGGGTCCAGATCGACTTTGTTCAGAATGGATTTTAAAAAATGGCGGCGGAGTTGGCTTGGTAGGTATGCAAGGCAGAATTGTAAAGAATTACAATAGCCTGCCACCGGAATCAGTGAAATTCAATGTAAAAGTCGTCGATGCCAGTGATTCATCTATTATGAAAATAGGTCTTGAGCATTTCGCTGGTTGTCACCACATAGATACTGTGGTCTTTCATAACTGTAAACATCTCGAAGATGGTGGACTCGAAGGTTTAACACATTTAAAAAGTACACTAAAAAGGTTACAAGTTTCTGGGTGCTATAATCTGAGGGACGCCTGTTTGGATGTAATATCTCAATTAACTGCACTTGAACACTTGCGTCTGTTCGACTTGATATACGTTAAAGATATACAAGGCGTGGCTAAGAAACTTCAGAAGGAATTGCCAAATTGCAAGATCGAGGCCATCACTTCCAAATAGAATACAATGTTTTCGTGGTAAAAGTGATTTTAAATTATTTTACAAGGACTGGAGTTTTTGAAATAAATATTTTCAAATTAAAAAAAATTATTTAATATTTATAGTTATAGTCATTAGTCTATGAAGGCTAATAAGTAAAAAGCACCAATAAAAACTCACTTACTCAACTGATTAACAGCGGAAATTTAATGCGAATTAGCTTACTAGGTAAGAAGATAAATAGAGAAAATCAACGTAACAAGCGTACAAAATAAGAGGGGAGATGAATATAATCGCCAAGTATAAATGCATCTAAACGAAAAGTGTAAATGCCTAGTGTTCTAGTAATAAGCATACGCGTAACGCTGTGTCAAATTCACATCAATTTTAAAGTCTCAATAGCTGTTATAATTCGTTGAACTTCTCCTTCCGATTGTTGTAATTTTTCGGTATTAGCTGTTTGCACTTCAGCAGGCACTTTTGTCGCGTAATCAGCCGACTGCATCGCCTGCTTCAATTTACTCACTGTTTGCTCCAATTGGTCTTTGCGCTTTTGCAATTTCGTAATTTCCTTTTCCGATTCAATTAGACCCTTAAGCAGCAAATGTACTTCACATTGCGCACTGACAGTAAGTATTGCGCAACCTGTTGGTGGCTGAGTAACAAATTCGATTTTCGAACAATAGGCAATTGTGGCCAAGTCGCTGGCGTACTTTTTGAGAATTGCATTGGACTGCTCATCAGTGCATACAATAAATGTTTCTGTTTTCACTTTATTGGGCAGGTTATAGTCCGAGCGCGCTGAACGTATGATACGCGCTGCTTTCTGCATAAACTCAACTTCCTTTTCGACGATGTCGTTTCGCCAGCTAACATTTTCTGTTAATTAAAATATTCGAGTTAGCTAAAAAGGTATATACATATATGGCAATTTCAAAAACCAACCTGGATAAGCAGCCACACAAATGCTAGGCGTGCCATCAACACGCGGCAACCGTTGAAACAATTCTTCGGTGATGAAAGGCATGAAGGGTGACAATATACGCAAACCATAATCTAGACAAACGAATAGCGTACGACGTGCTGCTGCCTTTTGTTTATCACTGCCATTTTGAAAAATTGGTTTTACGCACTCTAAATATACATCACACAAATCGTACAACCAAAAGCTATAGCAAGCCGTGGTGACAGCTGCGAAATCGTACTGTGCGAAGCCACTATTACACGCCTCGATTGCGACGGCAAGTCTGGATAGCACCCACAAGTCCATATTGTTTTCACTACCATTAAGCGCCAAATCGGACGAGTAGCGCTCCTCTCCAGTGAAGTACATCAGAGCAAATTTTGTTGCATTCCACAACTTATTGCAGAAGAAACGATAGCCTTGAACACGATTAATATCGAGATTAATATCGCGCGCTTGAGTAATGTACGCACATAGTGCAAAGCGTAGAGCATCAGAACCACACTCCGGTATGCCATTGGGAAAATCTTGTTTTTGACCCGCTTTGGCCTTTTCAATCTCACGTGGATCGAGATTTGAGTCGTGCAAGAGATTATGTAAATCCTCAAGTGTTATGCCTCTGATAACGTCCATGGGGTCAATAACATTACCCAGAGATTTGGACATTTTTCGGCCATGAGCATCACGCACCATTGGATGGAGGTACACTTCTTTGAAAGGCAATTTACCAAGTAACTTCTGCCCAAAAAATACCATGCGGGCCACCCAGAAGAAGAGAATATCGTGGCCGGTTTCAAGTAATGTTGTGGGATAAAATGCTTCCAAATCAGCGGTATTATCAGGCCAACCGAAAACTGAGAAGGGGAAGAGGCCGGAACTAAACCACGTATCCAAGACGTCTTCATCTTGGTGTAATACGATTTTACTTGAATCCACACTAAATATTTCAGCTGCTTTCTGGAGCGCTTCCTTTTCCGAACGGGCAACGATCCAGTAAGCCTCGTCATCGGTCTAAAAAATATAGGTCAAATTAATTGATATGTAGCAATGCGTTAAAAATAAAAATTGCTCAAGTATTAGGGTCAGCTCACCCGGCCATCCGAATTAGCAAGCTTTTATTAAGCAATCAAAATTAGTAACTAATGAAAAAATAAAGTAATAGAAAATATACTCACAGTGCCACCTTTAATGCTGTCATCATTGAAGCTCACATAATAGGCTGGTATGCGATGACCCCACCACAATTGTCGCGATACACACCAGTCGCGTATACCCTCCATCCAGTGGTACCAGATTTTGGTATGATGTTCCGGTATAATTTTCAGTTCGCCCTTGCGTACAGCTTCTGTTGCATCAGCAGCCAATTGGTCGCATTTCACATACCTATATAGAAAATTTATGTTATTGCCCTAAGACGAAAAAGTTCCAACAACATACCATTGTGGTTTTATCATGGGTTCAACTACATCCTTAGAGCGACTGCAGAAGGGAACTACCATAGGATTGTTGATAGTCTCACGATATAAACCGAGCTCTTTCAGTTTTTCAAGTATACGCTTACGACAATCGAAACGTTTCATGCCCTTAAATTCACCATAATCGCCAATAATATACCCATCATCGTTGAAAATCGTTATGAATGGCAAATTACAGCGCTTGCCTACATCGTAGTCATTGGCATCGTGAGCTGGTGTAATTTTCACAGCACCAGTGCCGAAATTCATATCAACAAAATCATCTACAACAATCGGTAAACGACGATCACAGAAAGGATGCTGCACATATTTGCCATGCAAATGTTTGTAGCGTTCATCTTGGGGATGTACGGCGATAGCAGTGTCACCCAGCATAGTTTCAATACGTGTAGTAGCCACAATGACTTCTTCATCGGAATTTTCAACTTTGTAAGCAAATTTAACCAAAACACCGAACTCAACCTAAACAGGGAAAAATATATGAAATAATTAGTGGTATTTGGAGAATTTTCATAACTGAATTTAATACCTTATCTGTATAACCTGGTATTGCAAAGAATGTTTTTCCGGGTATGTCCACTTTGTCCACTTCAATATCGGAAATAGCCGAACGCAGTGCACAAGACCAATTCACGAGACGTGAACTACGATAAATACTGCCATCTTCATGTAAACGCACAAAAGCCTCTGTTACAGCTTTACATAATTTAGGATCCATTGTGAACGCTACACGAGTCCAGTCATATGACGATCCCAAGCACTTAAGCTGATCGTAGATTCGCACACCCTTTTCGCGGCGCCAATCCCATATTTTTTCAATGAATTTTTCACGCCCCAAATCGTGACGTGTTAATTTCTCTTCACGCCAAAGTTTCTTTTCCACAACTACTTGAGTGGCAATACCAGCATGATCACAGCCTGGCACCCACAGGGTGGTCAGCCCCTTCATTCGATGATAACGCGTAATTGCATCCTCAATAGCATTGGTCAAAGCATGACCCAAATGTAGAGAACCAGTCACGTTGGGCGGAGGGATAACCATAACAAATTTACCGTTTGGATTTGGTTCTGATATGCTGGTACGCTTTAAATTTTAAATTTAAAATTACTTAAGATTTAGTCAAATATTTATAGTGTCTTGCATTATTTTTAATCCATCAAAGTTGCATCAGCAGTGATGTTCTGCCTACCCAACTTTATATGTGTAAATAATGTAGGTGACTCACAACGTATACTAGTATTGCTTGGATATGTGTATGTATGTACGTATGAAAGCACAGTTTGGAAATCAACTTACACCGTATTCTGGCTTGAAAAAACCTTCCTTTTCCCACCAACTATACCATTGAGCTTCAACATAGCGAGGACTGTATGCATCTGGAAGAAAACCGGAAGTATCCTTTTTTTCACCCGGCGCTGTGTTTGATGTATATAGAGCAACTTCTTTGGTCTCCTTAACCTTTTTCTAAAGTATAATAAATACAATTATTAAGTATGAATATTTTTGAATAATAAATATAATAACGAGCGATGTATACTTTTTTTTGTTGAAATATTTGAATAGAAACAAAAATATAATACTGATATTTCGATTAAATGCAAAATATCAATAGGTCTTTACTTTCTCTCCCTTGCCAACAATACTATTAAGGTGTATATGTATGTATGTACACACGCATATGAGTACATACTCTACTTGCGTGATGTATCTACTCAGGTGGCAAGAATAGTGCAAGGCACTTACCTCAGGTTTTTCTTTCTTTTCCGTTGATGCAGGAACTGCTGCCTTCTTATCTAACTTAGCTTGAAGTTTTGCTAATTTCTCAGCTTTCTTAGCTTCCTTTTCCAATTGCTTTGCAGTTTTTGGTGGACCAGTAGCAGAACCATCGCTGGAAGTATGTCCTGCTGGAGTTCCAATTTGACCATTTGTATCTGCTTGATTCATCGTTCAGAAATTAATACTTTATCGAGTTGTTGCGTTCGCAAATGTGAGTCTCGTAAAATTATGTAGTTTTTATTTGCCACGCGGTGTTCCGCAACACGTCTATAAGCTTTTAAAATTTATGAAAAATGACAGACTTACTAAAATGACAAAAACGTAAATACAATCGAAACATAATTAAGAAAGACACATCTTACAACAAGCTGTTCTATAAGGTATCGCGTTACCAATTGTATCCATAAAGTCTAGTTCACATAACTCGATCTGGTGGCTTCTGATATATTGAAGCAATATTGGAATTTAAAATCACGAAGCTTATATTGTAACGATCTTATAGGAAGGAAGGATTGTGAAGTTTTCATGGACTATGCACTTACTATCGTCGTTTTGTTCCGAATTTCGCCATCATTTCTAATTGTGCTAATTGTAACCATGAGCTCACTAGGAAAAATAGAACAAGAGGTTGGTGGATTTTAAACTTTTCCGCAGGTGTCTGTATGGGCAAAATTTCCGGGATAGAACGCAGCACTTAAGGAATACTGATGCCATATACCACCGATGATAACTTGGAATGTAAACACTGCCAAAGATTGGAAGTTTACCCAATTTTGAGCAAGAAAGCTAATATGTCTGAATTGGAATGATCGAAAAGTTACAAAACCCTTCGATTTCCGAGTGGTAGGTTTTAATCGTTTATAAGGATTTTATCGATTTCCCGCACTTTCAGCAATAGCAACTTTTTCATCTCTATCTTAGAATATTCGCTTTTCATTATCATTTTCGTTCTTTCTGTTTGTAGATTTTTCACTTTTATGGCAATTACAAAGCATTCAAATCAGAAAAATGTGTGAAATTTTTTAGAAAAGTTCAGGCGTTATTTAAGAAAATAGTAAAACAAAAACGGAAAAATTTGTGAACTAAAAGATTCCAGATAAAACTAAACAGTTGCAACGAAGTATTTTCTTACCCCCTCATCCGGTGTTCGATTACTTGACAATGTCTTCCGAGTTGAAAAAACTTTCAGAGGAATCGCTTCTACAGCCTCCGGAAAAAGTTTTCGACATTATTTGCAAACTAGGTGAAGGTAGCTATGGGTCTGTGTATAAAGCTCTACACAAGGAGAGTAGCTCTATTGTGGCCATTAAATTGGTTCCTGTGGCGTCCGATCTCCATGAAATTATAAAGGAGATCTCCATAATGCAGCAATGCGATTCGCCGTATGTGGTGCGCTACTATGGTTCCTATTTTAAGTTATATGATCTATGGATATGCATGGAGTACTGTGGTGCCGGTAGTGTTTCAGATATAATGCGACTACGCAAAAAAACACTAACCGAAGATGAAATAGCAACGATACTTTCCGATACATTACAAGGGTTAGTGTATTTACATCTGCGTCGTAAAATACATCGGGATATAAAGGCTGGTAATATATTGCTCAATACTGAGGGTTATGCCAAACTGGCAGATTTCGGTGTAGCTGGTCAGCTCACAGACACGATGGCTAAGAGAAATACAGTCATTGGCACACCGTTTTGGATGGCACCAGAGGTAATCGAGGAAATCGGATACGATTGCGTGGCAGATATTTGGTCGCTAGGTATAACAGCTCTCGAAATGGCTGAAGGTAAACCACCTTACGGAGATATACATCCGATGCGTGCGATTTTCATGATACCACAAAAACCACCACCATCTTTCCGAGAACCCGATCGTTGGTCTGCAGAATTTATTGATTTCGTTAGCTTGTGCCTGGTAAAAAACCCCGATGAACGTGCTACCGCTTCCGATCTGTTAAATCATGAATTTATACGTAACGCGAAATCTCGAGGTATCCTCAAACAAATGATTGAAGAAACGTGTGCAATACGTGAACAACAACGTGCTAATCGTACCGGTGGAATGAGCCAAGCAAAAAGTTTAGCTACTCAACAGGAGGAGCTCTTGCAAGATGATGAAGCAGAGTTCCCAGCGGAGACAGTTAAAACATTTATTGATGATCCCGGCACCTTAGTGCCTGAGAAGTTTGGTGAATATCAACAAACCGTTGGCAGTGATGCGACCATGATCGCTCATTCTGAAGACAGCGGTACACTTGGACCCGGTAATCGTGGCATATGTTTGGCTGCGGCCATTGATAATTCTGGCGTTCGAACTGGTGAAGTTAATAGTGTTGTTGATACAGGAACTCTCATAGAATTAGAATCGAATTTAGGTAAGTTTGGTCATCAAAAGGAGGATTATAGTGGTGATACGATATACTTACAGGTACAATGGTCATCAAGGCGGACTCGGATGACTCGGCAACAACTAAACGCAATGAATTCAACAAACCACGTTATCGCCCTAAATTCCTCGATCACTTTGAGCGCAAAAATCCTGGTGATGCGCTTGTGCCAACCCGAATAGGCGATGATTTGGAAAAGTCCACTGACTTTGGTGCCTCACCTACAGGTGCTAATGCAGAACAATATCAAACGAATGCACCACAACAACAACAACAGCAGCAGCAGCAACAACAACAACAGCATTTAATGCAATCACAATTAAATCAAACCAACTCGAACGATACAAACTGGGAGAATAACATGGAAATGCAGTTTCAACAAATCTCTGCCATTAATCAATATGGTCTGCAACAGCATCAGCATCATTTGCAGCAGCAGCAACAACAACAACAACAGGCGGCAGCTGCAGCAGCGGCGTATTATGGTCATCCGCTGGTTAGTGATCATCACTTGCTGGCAATAAACAATCAACAAAATTTATTACGCACTCAACAACAGCAACAACAACCCCAACCACCTGCCTATCAGCAACATCATCTACATACCCAATCCCATAGTTATGTGGATGGTGAATTTGAATTTTTGAAATTCCTCACTTTCGATGATCTAAATCAACGTTTAAATAATATTGACTCGGAAATGGAGAAAGAGATTGAGGAGTTGAATAAGAAATACAATGCCAAACGACAGCCAATTGTTGACGCTATGAATGCCAAGCGAAAGCGACAACAGAATATTAATAATAATCTTATTAAAATTTAATCAAAAGAAGTTGAGTAATTTTTACTTTAAAAATTATAAACGATCGTTTATATAGAGCAACAATATTAAAAGCTATAGATTGTTTTTTTGTTTGTGTCAGCAAATTGATGATTTGCTTAAATCTCTGACCATCAAGTGTTTATTTGTAATTTAATTTAGCAATAACTACAATTTTCAATAACGAATTGTAATGAAGAGAACTCGAAATTGCTGTTAGAATAATAATACTAATTTAGAAACAAATTATGTGCTCACTTAGTAATACAGCATTAACAACAAGAAATTGGAGAGAATTAGAATATTAGCTTTATAATTTAATTAAAAACAAATGTTTAATCAGATGGGTGCATTGAGAGCAAGAAATTATGGGTATAGAAAATTATAATTTGTTCGTAAAATAATAGTAAAGAATGATGTAAGGTGCTGCCGCAAAAACAACGCATATCACAGCAATTGGTTTAAACTAAACATCCATATATAAGAGAGAGAGAGAGAGAGAGAATGTATTGTATTAAAAATAATATAGAAATAAATACAAGTACATGCTCACGTTTAGCATAGAAATATATTTAAATTTTTGGCAAACTGTAAGAAATTGTCTGTAAACGTAATACTGCACTACAATTCTTCATTAATGCCATAACAATCTGCCCTCCTGTCCTGTTAACAATAATAATAAGACAAGTTATATTTATGTATGCAAGTAACTACAAAATGGAAAACTTAAATGAAAACATACAACCAGTTGGAAGAGATAATTTGTATTACTCCTTAGCAGAGAATTTGAATTGGATCTGAAATTCTAAAAATAATACGCTAAAAATAATTATACAGGTTCTTTTTATTCACGTTCTATTATGTTCATTTACGTGAATACCTGGAGTAATGAGACTACTAAATATGGCTCTCTTAATTTTACATAAAGATAATGACCGATTTCTTTTCTTTTGATAAAATCATTAACAAATAAATCTAACAATGTTTTGAATAATAATGTATTTCCGACTGGGTATAGCACTAGACTACACGTACATACATATATGCAGTACATTTAAGTTTTAAGTATCATAAGCAATGGTTCAACGACATTATTCTTTGTAGTTTTCTTCTTCTTAAATGTTCTTCCGTTTTGATTTTTTTGTTTACGCTCGGCTCGCGTGACTAAAAAATGTTTTGGTGCGCATGAAAAGCAAAATAAATCATGGTTTAAACTTGTATTCATTGCGTAAAAGCAGTTACAGTCATATATAACGACTTCATACATACATACATATACACCTTAGTATATATAATTATACACAATTAATTATACATACTTATATATGCAACATTTTTTAAATAAAGAAAAAATGTAAATACGATTTTTAAATTTACACTTTTTTACTTTATTCGCCGCAAGGAATAATCGATTGTATGTATTTTTCATCTAGATAGTCAGGAAGCAGAAAGCCGCACCCTAGTAAAAGTCTTTTGGTAGGAAAAATTTTTTATGAATATATTTTCTTAGGGTTTTCTATTTCGTCGATATGTGTCAAAGCAATTAAATAAAACTGAGGTTCAAATTGCTGTAGGTGCATAATTTTAATTGTTTGTGAATTTGAAGTTTTGAAAAAAAAAAAAATTAATTTTAGCTAGCATCTTAGTAAACATATCTTCCTTAGGTATACATAACTTAATATTAACGGTTTGTTACAGCCGCACACATTTTAAGCTATTGTTTATATAATATACTGCAAGTAAAGCGAGCAGGGATTTCCATCTCATTCAGCATCCATTTGCTGTGATTCGCTCTCTACTTGGTTAATCTCAATAACAGACGTACCCTCTGTATCCTCGATATCCATATGTTCGGCTGATTTTTCCAATTCACGTAACTGTTCACGCAAATCATCTGGCAAACTGTTTTCACTTAAGGCGCGTGGATCTTCGCCTTCGATAACAATCTCTTCTGGATCGGGTGCACGTGGCAGAAATTCAGCATCTGCATATAATTTAGTAAATATTTCGCGCGCATTAATTATAGCATTGTCATAATCCAATTCGTAAGAAGGTGCGCTAGTACAAAATATCGGCGTGGATACATCTACGCGAGGTGTGGATGAAGTACTTTTGCGTCCCATTATCGTAAAGTAAGCAGAGTATAACAATTTCAGTGCGTCATCCGTTTCAGTATTAAAAATTTGAGCAACAAAAGGTGCCAGATCTTGTTCCGGTTGGTCGGTCTGCGCTGCAGTTGTAAGATGGAAAAGATCTGGAAGAGGAAATATATTAGTCTTATACATAGGGTAAAGTCTAATTAGCAATTTAAATTGTAGATATAATATGATATTACTTACAAATTCCTTTTGGACATGTGCCAGAAAAATGTGAAAGCTGTATAAGTATGGCTTCTCGTGTGTCAGCTAAAAGTCGTAATAAATTCACACCACCTCCACCGGAATTTAATTCTTCCGAACCCAGAGGTTCTGCAGATAAGAAAATACCTCGAGAAAGTGAGTTCACCAATTCACCTTGGCCGTAAATGCCAACATTCCGCTCAAGTAAAACCGTTGGAATGTGGCATGGGGCACTAACAACATGTTGCGCTTTTATTGTTTTGCCCTCTAAAACAACATTCGCTATATTGGTGTCCGCTTCAACAATAATATCGTCGATATTTCGCTTTAAACAATAAATGCCACCAAAAACTGCACAAAGACGACAAAAGCATTGTGGTATCTCACCACAACCGTACATTGGAAATAGAAAAGGCGTATTCCCATAACGTCCAAGGCTACCGAGAAACTGTTGCGTTCGTCCAATTCCCACTTCGAAAGGCGTTTCATCGGTGCTCATTGCAATAGCTTGCATTACACAAGTTCTTATTTTTTCAGTGACTTTTTGCTCTTGCAGGTACTCGCGGAATGTTTTGCCTCTATAAAGTAATGTGTCTTCCTCAGTTTTATCTTCCCCAAAGGCCAAACATTGCGACAGAAATTTCATTAGCAGTCGTTTTTCTACAATATTCAAATCTTTGGTATTGAATACATCACTACGCGAGCAAGGTACATTGATTATTTGGTTTTGAAATTTTGTGCAAACTCGGTCTACTGCACGAAACTCAGCGTAACGACAAATATTTGAAGAAACTAGCAACTGCACCAAAGGGCCAGCGGAGTAGAGAATCTTGGGGCTTAAGTCTAAATTGAATCGTCGTGATTGCTGAAGCAACTTTTCACGAGACCACTGTTGATCAATGGGCTTACGCACGACTGTGTCTTCTGCCATTGCATGCGTCTCGCTATCACTATTTGAATTTCCAACTTCTGCACCCATCTCAGGATTCAGTTGCTCATTAATGTACCATTTTTGTTTAGTATTTTTTATATCACTGCCATTTCCATATTCCAAAAGCGCACAGAATGACTCTAAGTTAAATGACGCCCACACCCCTCCGTAATATTCATGAGGATCGATATGTAGGACGGTTTTCCCTATGCGACTTGCAGCTGCAGCAATACAACTCTCCGGGAAACCAGTGCCAATTACAATCAAATCAAATTTGTCTGGAAGGTCGTCAGACATTTTTTAAACTATTAATTTTATTTATTTTTTTACAAAGCTATCTCTAATAATTTTGTAAATACGAATATTCGTTGCAAATTTCGAGATGACGTATGAGTAATACCCAAATCAGCTGTTCTTTGTTAAATGAAAAGAAAATAAAAAAACGGAACAGATTAGAAGGGAAACAGTGATGCATTTAATAACGTTAGAGGCAAGATGTTGTGGCAATTTTTTTGCGGTTTAACAGGGAACAAGTGCTCCGTGTAACCAAAGAACGTATATGAATTCATATACGTTCTTTGCTAATACTCCTGCGGATTAGGCGCTCAAGAATTTACATGTAGTAAGCCATGACGGCCGTAAGAAGCGACTAAACTCCAATAGTTTCCGCGACAATTGAGTCTTTATACAGAAACGACCCGGGTTTTCAAACGGCCAAGGACTGTCACTCCCGAAAACTAATTCGGCGTGTACTTTTTACTATGACAACAACATAAAATGTGTCTTTTTTCTTCGATTAAAAAAATAATAAATTTAACTGCATTAGTGTTCTATCCCCTTCAATAAATCATTTTTACCGTTATAAAAATCAGAAACTTTGTAAAGCATCAGCAGTCAGTACATTTACGTCAGTAGGGGGTTAAGAATTTTGGTTTCTTGCTTTTGGTTCGTTTCGTAACACTTTCTGAAAAGAATTTTAGCACCTGTTGCTTAGCAACCGGATAGACAACAAAACGAGCGAACAAAACAAACGAAAAATTTTCATTGGAAGCTTTTTTTCGTAGAGAGAAAATATTATTATTATTATTATATTGTGGAAAAATATTATTATTAAACCTGTTAAAGTGTTTTTGAAGAAAAATGTCAGATCGAAAAGGGAAAGTTAATCATTGCTCGATTATTAAATGAAATAGCTGTAAATATTGAACTTTTTAATATAGATTAAATCCATTTTGAAGATTATGGAATAGTGTTCCCAGCTATTAAATATTAATATGTAGGGGTACTCGTTATAAAGTGAATTTTACGAGCTAATATTAAAAGTTAAATTGCCCACAATATGTCTTTTGATAAATTACTTTACAAATTCGATGATCCACATGGACCTGGCGATGTTTATTTCATCTGGCAAAAGGGATCAGCGGGAGCTTTATTGGCAACCACTGGATCAGATGGTTCAGTGGCCATATTCAATAGGCACGGACAATTGGTAGAACGCTTATTGTTGGCCGGGTAAGTTAAATAAACCTCTGAATATTAGCATAAATATGTATGCTCAAGCACAAGTTTTGAACTTAAGATTATGTTCCGGATTTGCGTGGGATCATGGTGGTGAATTGTTGGGTATTATAAATGCATCTACACCTGTTATAACTATATGGGATTCAAGTACACAACTGAAAACAACAATTGAATCAGGTTTGCGCGATCCACTAACTTGCATAGTTTGGTCAAAGCAAGAACAAGTGTTGGCTGTGGGCACAGCCCGAGGCAACTTAGCAATTTACAATCATCGCTCAGGCAAACGTACACCAATTTTAGGCAAACATAATAAACGTATTACATGTGGCGCTTGGTCTGCACAAAATTTACTCGCTCTGGGCTCAGATGATAAGAGTTTCTCTTTGAGTAATGAAGCTGGTGATACAATGCGTGTGGTACAATTGAGAGATGCACCAACTGATATGTATTTTGCTCAAATGGCTAACGAAGAACGGGTTAGCGGAAGTAATGGCAGTCTTGGAGATGTTGGTGGTAGTCTGGCAGGTAGTCCTGGTGGAGAAAATACAGTTAGCATGATTATTGGCAAACGTACTTTGTTTCTGTATTATTTACCTGAACCGGACGCCCCAACGGAATTGGGCTTTCAAAGCCGTTATGGTTCACTGTTGCAGCACAAATGGTTTGGTGATGGTTATATTTTGTTGGGTTTCTCGAATGGACATGTTGTGGCAATATCAACGCACCCACGTGACGTTGGACAGGAATTATGGCAGGTGAAAAATCATAAAGAAGAATTGACGGGGTTAGCCTACTGTCCATCGTTGGATATAGTGGCATCATGTGGCGACGATACGTAAGCTTATTCGAAATAATTTTAGTTTGAAATTAATTTAGTCAGCACTTTTTCCTTTAGCATAAAAATCCATTCAATTACTAATTTACAAGAAACCGAGAAAATCATAACCGTACCCGACCATTCGGGCGTGCAAATGATTGATTGGTCCAGTGATGGACAACTACTGGCAGTTACTTCCATGGCTGGCACAGTTTATATATATGTAACTAAGCTATCAGTACTCTATGCCGTATCACCACCACGTATTGCTATTTTGAGCAGCTTATCAGAAGTATCGATTTACGTATATTCACCGGAGAAGGTATTTCCCTATTAATCATAAAAAAGTATTTATATTTAATCTATTACTCTTTAAGTCCACTAAGCCAATGCCATATCGTCTGAGCTTAATAGATGAGCCTAGTTTCTTGGCAATCGGCCCCTATTATCTAGCTACAGGCCTTGATAATCATGTGTGGTTCTATGATTTGGGCAAAACGCTGGGTGATCAACCGCAATTACTTAGTGAACGTGATTTTCCTGCACCAATTGTTGACTTCAAGTTGAACGCCGATTACTGTGCTGCTTTGTGTAATTCGCGCCTGTTACTGCAAGCTGTTGTAACCGATAATCCGAATGTTAAGGATAAGCTCTCACAAACGTTCCCAACTGCGCTGGCGGGTTTGAATGATGCAGTGATAACTTGTTTTTGTTTGACGCAGGAATTTTTAATATTCGCCACGGATGTGAGTAAAAATATTTGCAACGATGCTCTAAATATTTATATTTGCGTACATATGTATTTTCAGCTCGGTCATCTTATGTATTTTTCTCTCGACAAATGGGACGTTTGTACAAAATACACACATAATATGGGCATACGCAAAATTTATTCTGATACGGAGGGTACTAAAATAATATTTATTGATGAACATGGACAAGGTTATGTATTTCTGCCGGTAAGGATAAGTATTTCATACATTAGGTGGTTGGAAAATATTGAGTATAAATTCCTGGACTTCATTTTAATTATTAAAACTCAAAAGGTGATAAGACCTTAATTTGTATTTGTAAATTTAAACCTAAATTTGTAAATTAGTTCCTCTCCGAGTCCTCAGAGAAATCTTAGACTATAATCCATAGCGTTTCCAGACACACTAAATGCGACCAAACTGCACTGATACACACCTATTGTGACTCTAGGTCATTGCCGATTGAAGATCCAGTGGGATTTCTCACAAATGATGTGCTCCACTATCATCATACATTCCTTACATTTCATTCATACGCTTTTGTGATTCTGTAGTCCTTAGCTCATTCCCAGCTCGATTTTCTTATCTAGTTTGGTAGCTTATACGATTTTCTTATCTGTCGTTGGTAAACTACATCTAAACTAAACCATCAGTAAAATCATGAATAGCTTTGTCTTACTCCAGCCATTCGTCTCTATTGTAGCGGAAAACAACTTCCTGAAAGTCAGGCGCGGCATTATGTAGTCTATACGTACACTCAGTTTATAGCCTCGCAGCAGTTAGATATACTCTATTTTTAGCAGTGATGCTGATCATTGAACGTCTGAGCTTTCAACCATATAAAAGTTCCGTAGAATAGTATTGGCTTAACAATCGCAATGGAGATCCAGTAAGAGATAGCGGAGAGATACTTCAAGTGCAGTCCAACATCCTTTTACATGCTGTTGTTATTGTTGTTGCTGTAACGGTTCGCCAACCCCGCTAGGGACAAGTCATCGAAGTTATCTAATCTGAGGTCCGGGAAACGTGCTGTTTCAACGATATCGGAACAGAGGGAGCGGGAGGTTAGATGCGCCAGGTTAACGAGGCATGAGAAGAGATGGTTAGTGTCGTGCGGAGACTCTCCTCATGCTGGGCATACGTTAAGTATGTTGGGGTCGAGTCTGGTTAAGTAGGAGTTTAACCTGTCACACGGATCTCTCGTGGCAGCTCGAGCTCTTCGTCTGTAATAGGTGGTTGTTACACTCCGAGTACGCCATTCATGAGAAGGGAATCTTTGAATAGGTTGACTAACTCCTGTTGAATGGCGTGCATTGCTTGTCTGTACACCGCCCTGACCAGCGGTTGTTGCACTTGTTGCTGGATAATGTCCTTCAACAACTTGCTATCCAACACAATTCGCAGATACAGGTGACAGATTTGTGGTTTATTTAATTTATTTCTTTCAGGCCTTGGAGGATACCGTTATTATAACGGACTTTCCAAAAAAGTGTGAAGGTTGCCTGTGGGATGTAGCACAACAGCACGTTTTTATAACATTCGATTCTAAATTGGTGACCACACATGCCTTCGTGCGTTACTCGGTTAGAGGTAGTGAATGTTTTGAAATCATATAAGCTTCATAATAATCACGCACTTTGCATTAGGTAAACACACACTGAAGATTGGCGAAAGTAAACTGAACTCGGTTCAGTGTCCGCTCATGCTGTGCGAGGGTGAAATGGTTCTGCACATTGATGGCGGACAATATGCTACACAAACGCTGACCACTCATTTGGTTACGCCAAGTGTAAGCCCTAGCATAAATTTGAAAATGTTTTTAAATCTCAAAAACTACGTGGACGCGTACAAGACCTGCGAGCGTATGAATGCACGCTCGGGTTGGTTGGAATTTGGGGAGCAGGCAATTGCCGACTTGGAACCAGACATTGGTAAGTATTCATTATTTAGCTATGGTTCATTAGTTCTTTTGGCTCAAAATTTTCTACTCCATAGCGTTACGTGCATATCGGCACATCGGCGATGCCGCCATGGTCAGTGCTTTGGAAAATATGCGTTATATAGAAGATGTTACTATGCTTACCGGGTTCTGCTGCCTGCTATTGGGAAAGTATGACGAGGCAAAAGATTACTTCTTACGCGGTACATATACAAAAGAAGCGCTGGAGATTTGCCGTGATTTGTTGCAGTGGGAGCAAGCATTGTTGTTGGCTCATAAATTCGAACCGGATGAGGTGCCGTTCATTGCGCGGGAATATGCTCAGCAACTGGAATTTTCGTGAGTATTTTGATCTTTTCTAAAGGTATTAAAGGCTACACAAGTAGTTGTAAGTCGTGAGGGGGAAGTAATAATATCAGTCTGAGTAGTATCTGGGGTTGATTATAGCGACATTTGAGTAAACCTAATAAATGACATCAGGGACCACTGACGGGGAGCTCAAGAACCGTACTTTTCCGTGCGCAGAGGTGGGATTTTAAATTACTTGGTTTGAGAAGCCATACAAACTCTATGTAGAACTTAAGGGGGGGACCTGGTTAGAGGGTTAAAAAAATCGATTTATTGAAACTTATCTCATCGATTAGAAATATATTCAGAAATATTTCCACAAAAAATCAGAGTCAAATTCCTAATCGTTCCGCAGAAATGGCCTCTGAGAGACAATGCGCTCAGGATAGGGTAGCTGCTGCTCTTACCGTCTCGCGTGAAGGCGGGAGACAGATTAATTCAGGACCCTTTTGACTGAGGTCTAAAACCGTACCTGGTGGACTTTTTTTCAGTAGTATTAGCATCTCAAGGGTTTCTACCGCGGAAAACAAAAAAGGGGTACACTCAAAAAATAATCCGTTTTCTTCATTCAAACTTCATTTTCCTCAATTTTCTCTCAGTGGCAATTACGCCGATGCACTATATCACTACGAGAAAGGTTACAAAGAGGATTTGATTAATGATAATGAAGAACAGCTAATAGACTTATCGCCCGATTATGAAGAGCATGTTCGACAATGCAAAATGGGTATAGCACGAACATCGATACGGGCTGGGGACTTTCGGCGTGGCGTAAGTTATTTGCGATTCAATTTGCTCATTGAAAATACAATATCTTTTAATTTTCTCTGCACCACAGATCCAATATGCCGTGGAACTGAATGACAAACAACTACTTTACGACTGTGCCGAACTTTTAGCCACTGTCGGCCATTACACCGAAGCCGCCGGTCTGTATGAGCGCGGCGAGTATTTCGATGAAGCTTGCAGCCATTACATCCATTTGAAAATGTGGAACAAGGCAAACCAGATTTTACCACAGGTAAAGAGCACCAAATTGCACGCCGCATACGCGAAGGCCAAAGAGGCCGACGGTCAGTATCAAGAGGCTATTGATAGCTATCGCACTGCTGGTGACTTGGACGCCTGCGTGCGTATCTACTTGGATCATTTGTGTGATCCGCATATGGCTTCCGAAATTGTGCTCGAGTCACGTTCCATGGAGGCGGCTAAGATGTTGGCGAAATTCTATCAGAAAATTGGCGACATCGAGCAGGCACTACAGTTTCTAGTCATATGCGGGTGTGTAGAAGAGGCATTCGCACTCGCTCAACGTCATAATAAACTCAAACAACACGGTGAACTGTTGCAGCGTTACGAGAACGCCAAGTCTAGTGATTACCTAGCGCTAGCGCATTACTTTGAAGCCGAGAAGTACACGTTGCTGGCGGGAAAGTATTATTTTTTGGCGCGTGAGTTCAGCAAAGCTTTGCGTTTTCTGCTCAAAGCCTCAGCGTTTAGCAACGAAGAGACGCAGGCGCTCTCGCTCGCTATCGACTGTGTGGCCACATCGAATAACGAACAGTTGGCCACACAATTAATTGAATTTCTACTTGGCGAGGTCGATGGTGTGCCCAAAGATCCGCGTTATCTCTTTCGTCTATACATGGCACGCAAGCACTACAAGGATGCGGCCAAGACGGGGGTTATTGTGGCAAACCAGGAGCAGTTGGCGGGCAATTATAAGACGGCACGCGATATGCTCTTCTCAATGTACCAGGAGTTGAGGCGTAATAATTTTGCAGTTTCGGCGGACATGCGTCACAACTTAATACTCTTGCACCGTTACACATTGGTGCGCATACACGTGAAGCTCGGCAACCATCTGTTGGCCGCAAAGTTGCTGGTGCAAGTTGCCGCCAACATCTCACAGTTTCCCGAGCGTGAGTGCGACTATTAAAATAGCTATAAAATTTTTGTGTGTTTATATGTATGTATATATATGTATGATTTATCTTTTACTTTTAGATATTGTACCCATACTCACCTCCACCGTTATCGAATGCCATCGCGCTGGTTTGAAGAAGTCTGCATTCCTGTACGCCTCGATGTTGATGCGTCCCGACTATCGCCATCAATTGGATCCACGGTATGCGAAGAAAGTCGAAGCAATCGTTCGTAAAGCGCCCAAGGGCATCAAAATGTTAAGCGATGATATCGATGTGGAGACAATGGAATGTCCCATTTGCGGAACGAATTTGCCAAATATGGAGGTGACCTGTCACAGTTGCAAGACAACGCTGCCCATTTGCATAGCTACTGGACAACATATTATCAAACAGCAAATGACATCATGTCCGGAGTGTGATTTCCTCTGTTTTCGTGCAGAAATGGAGAAGTATTTGAAAATAGTATAATTTAAAAAAAAAGTATTTTAATATGAAAAATTGTTTATTCTTCGCTAGAATACTTTCCGAGTTGAATGTATGTCCGATGTGTGGAGAGCATGTTGCGCCTGAACAGCTGTTGGATGTAGAGGATATACGCCCATATATATTGGCATCTTCTTAGTGGCCGTCCGTAGTGTAGTCTTTTGGTTTTAAGCTCCAATGTTTAGTTGTTGTGTATAGTAATAAGAATGCACGTTAATTCGCACCATATATGTATGTATGTATGTATGTATCTATTTATATAAATCGCTCTGTAATATCATCTACATTCCACATACACACATACATATGTACATGTAAGTATATGTTTTCTATTGTACAAAAAGATTTAATAAACCCAATCACTTGCATCATCATAGTTCGGGTTATTTAATGAGTAAGCATAAATTCCAAAAATAAATTTGTGCCGCCGTTAATAGCAGAATGGTTAGCAGTGCGTTCTATCATGTCGATCGGTACTTGGTTCGAGTCTGGGTCCGAGCAACATCCAAAATTATAGAAAGCAAATTTTAAAAATTAATTCGGCAGGGAATGCCAACCCCTCCAAGTGTATTTCTTCTCATAAAAAGAAATCAGCCGTTCGGAGGCGGCTTAGCATTAGCTGTAGGTGCCCACATTTGTTGGTAAAACATCAAGACGCAAAACTACAAATCGGAGAAGTATCTCGGTCTGAAATGGTTTTTTTCTCTAGAATGTTGTTGTTGTTTTTGTAACCACCCTAAAGTACTTATCGGCAAATGTTTCGGGAGTGACAGTCCTTGGCCGTATAAAAATCCGGGTTGTTCCGGTATAAAGACCCAACTGTCGCGGAAACTATTGGATTTTAGTCGCCTCTTACGATAGGCTTGTCTTACCGCGGGTAAATTCTTGAACCCCTAACCCGCAGGGGGTGAAGTGAAAACGTAATCACGCGCTCAAAAGGTATGCTTTTTTATTACCCTCTACTGCAGACGTTTGTAATCGTAAGAAGTTTTTCATTGATTTATAAAAAACAAGGTTCGCAAAGATCAAGTGTGCGAGATAGGTAGAAAGCCTTGATTATTCTGATATTTATTGGTTCGCGTTTTTCTTTGCATAGAAGAGTTTCTTGTCTCCGAGGAAAGATAGGGGTCTGAGTCGTTTTAGGAATTTTCGCCAAAGTTATTGAAGTCATCTAACCGGAGGTCCAGGAAACGAGATGTCTCGACGTGCTCAGATTAGCCGGAGAGCCGTGTTTGATGAGTTGCCTTAAGTGGTCCTTAGTGTCGTGAGGTCCCTGATTGAATGAACCAAATATGTTGGTCGCGTCAGGGTCTGCATAGGTAGGAATTAAGTCGACTAAAATATCCACAACTTAATTTTGCTGGTATTACTCGGGTAGGTGGTGGTTGCATTCTGAAAGCACTATTCATGGGTAAGAGTCTATGCAGGTGTTAACTGATTCCCTACGATATCATCCCTGCAGCAAATATAATGTACTGTGTAATGACCTATTTTTGGCTTTGTAGTTATGGCAGCCCTACAAAATTGCTTTCTTCTCATGAATTGAGCGCAAAGGAAAATTCATCTGCACAAAAAATGCTTTTCTAAAACTCTTTTGATTTCTGGTGATGATCATTTGCGAAATACAATCCTTTATTGGCGGAGTCTTTTTTTCTGCCTTCCTGCCAACATTGATGGGGCTTATGGTCATCGTTAGGTGAATACTTGTTTTGAATTTTCGCGCAAAGGTTTCGGTCGTCGTTGGACTTTGCTTCACGCTTGACACCCAGTCGCGAAAAGGCACTTACTTACTTTACTAGCGTAGACACCGCTTACGCGATTAAAGCCGAATTTATAACATTTCTTTTTTCGGCTCTCTGTGACCAGCTGGCGATACCAAGCAGAGCCAGGTCCTTCTCTGCCTCTTCCTCTGCTGCCATCGTCTTGCGCTCGTTCCCTACCAGACTCATATTTTTCGCTGCCTTATCCAGTCTGGAGAAAGCAGAACTCACGGCGCGGTTGTTAATATCATAGGCGTCAGCAGCTGTATACTCTATTATAGAACATTGTTCCTTCTCTATTCAGCCCTGTCGCTGTTATTTTTTCTCCAGCAATAAGTTAAAAAAGTCACACGATAAGGAATAACCTTGTGTAAAATCTTGTTTGGTATCGACCGGCCCGGAGGGGTCCTTCCCTTTAGTCTTCTTCTGATTATTTTTAATGATGAGCTTTTATTTCAAGTCAGAAAACCAATCGGAGGGCGTCTGTCCAGCAAAGAACTGTCAGACGGCATTGCTCATTAAGTACTGCGAACGAAACTATTGGTTTACGGAAAGGTCAAAAGAACACCTGGTACGATGAGTATTCTCGTGTGGTTGTGGAGAGAAAACAGAGTGAGTACCTCGCAACGTTGCAATCGTCCAACGAGAGTTGAAGGGGAATGTAAGGTTCGCATTCAGACAGAAGTAATGCTCGAAGTTCTAGGAAAAGATCTTCTTGCAGAGAAAATGATACACCAAAAGCTGGTGAACTCCTCCCAATGTTTTGACGATGGAACAGATGTGTCATTGCCCAACTATGAAGTATTTTGAATGGCAATTATCCGCCTGAAAACCAACATAGCGCCGATGTTGCTATTCAAAGACGACCAAGAACTGACAAGATACATCAGTTTCTTTGCAGTTTATGCTCGGACGAACCGATGATTGGAACTTAATAAGTGTGACTGGCGTAGAGCTAAATAGAGCAGGTACAAACTTCTATAAGAATTTACAGCTGCTGCCCCACACCGTTGATTCTGTGTAATCCAGGCCGTATAAGGAAACAGCACAGATAGGTCTGGTAGCGAAGAGGACAACAAGTAATATCTCCTGCTTTGGACGATGAAACCATCTAAGTAAAGAAAAAAAGATTTTGCGGTGAATACCGCAGTCGAAGAAGCGATGAAATCTAAAAGATATAAGGGAGAATCAAAAGACAGCGACTACTTGCCTAGATCATGTTTTTCGCATGGATAAGAACATTCCAGCTTTGCAAGTATTCGATGCAGTGCCAACCGGTGGAAACAGGGGAAGAACAGTGTCTACGGCAGTAAAAAAGAACAAAAACACTAATCACCGCTTTGATAACCCCTGTTACAACAAGAGGTATAATAAACGACGATATATGCTTCTTCATTCTAAGACACTCATATAATGTCAAGCTCTCTAAATCAGTTCGTTCTACTGAAGTTAGAGAACTTTTGCAAGAAGACGTCTTAGCTTACAGTAAACGTTGGGCTAAAAAGTACATGACCAAATTACTTTTTACTTCACTTGTTAGGCTCATTTTGGAATAAGGCTCAGTTGTATGGAGTCTGCACTATTAATTTTATAGTGATACATTGGAATCTGTAGAGAGATGCTTGGAGTTCTATGCTTAACTAAATTGATAAGAGATGCCATCATAGCCCATTCATAATTAGCGAGCTTAACTTTACTATTCTTTTAAGATCATCTAGACACTTTAGGCCCCTTTTCTTGTGTCCTTCTGAAATGCACGACCCTTTCAGCATCGATTCCGCTGATTCGTTTTTCTGCATCGAAACCTATTTGAGTTGAGTAAAGTTGAGTTGGTGCGGCTGCTAGTCACCACCAGTACACTAAGGCGAATAGACCCATCATGATACTATGATCTCAAATGATCGAACCATTTTGTGTGCATTATAAAGGCAACGAGAAGAAGTGTTTTCCAAGGCTGGACAGTGGGAGAGCTAGTGCTCGATCCTCCTCTTCTTCGTCCCTGCAGCTGTTGCAAAAATCGTTAGAATGAAAGCCCCATTGAACATTGTCCAGTTATTATGCCAGTCGTTATGTTTATGGAGAAGCGGTCTAGAAGGATAAGATGTTTTAATTTTTTTGCGTCCAACTTTGGACATAGCAGTCTGGTAACGTTGCACGTGATCTCGCTCAACCATGTTGAGTCAGCTTCCCAAACAAAGGCCGCTTTAAGCATGCACTTTGCCGTGGACAGAGGTAAACCAGCATCGTGTACATGTTTTATCGTAGATAGAAGGGTTCCTTCCCTTGCTAGTTCGCCTGCCATGTAATTGCCTGGGATGTACCTGTGTCCAGGTACACCGACAACGGCAGTGCTAGAGTTAGTAGATAGTTTGTTAAAAGAGTTCCTACAATTGACATTTGGACGTGGTACCATTACATTGGAGAGATCTGATTGCAGCCTGGCTGTTGTGAGCATAATGTAACAGCGGCATTGATGATTGCAAAGAGTTCTGCTTTCTTCATGGCATTTCAAGCAGTTGATGAGCAAATCTGTAGCTGTTTAGTGTAAGAGGCAAGTGAAACTGCGACCTTCTGCATTCGGTTTCCGGTTCAGGGCATAAATACATTTACATATAACTTCATAGCACGGATCACAGCACGGTTCATTTCAAAATAACCTAACTCCAAACGAAAACAACTGTATTTATTTTTTGATTATTTTTTTTTTTAATTGTTTTATTTGATCTTTTTCATTGTTTATTTTATTCTTTATTAATTACAAATATATGTATATATATATATATACATATCTATGTTTGTATATATATAGAAATATGTTTAATTATATTGTAATTTACGTTTGTGTATATATGTATGTATGTATGTATGTATGTATGGTTTAATTCTTATACTAAAATGGTACATACATTAAACATTTGTTTTTGTGTTTCCTTTAATTTGATTTAATGTTTTTTTTAATTTTTAAGTTTACACCTTCGTGTTTACATCATATTTATAACTTTATAATCTTTTTTAGTATTGACAAAATTATAATTATATTAATAATGAAGATATAATATTAATAATAATAATAATAAAAACGCTCAAGCGCGCTAAAGGAGTTAAAGTATATTTATACAATTAACTTTGAAAGAATTAAAATTTAATAAAAAATGCTCAACAAATGAAAATCGCTAAATTCCACGTCTCTTTTTAATAATTTTGAATGTAGGAATAAAAAAGAAGTTACATTTAATCATTTTTTGCTACTGTAGCGGAGTTATTTTAATTTTTTATAAAATTAGCCAATTTAATGTAATCTGCTTTTTTTGTTAACAATTTTTTTTGAATTGTTTTTACCTGAACTTTGAAAATCGAAACTAAAAAAGTGGTTTACTAAAAGGCCTCCAATCTTTTATTTGCATTAGCTTTCAATATCTTACCATTTCACATTTACGTTTTGATGGAATTCATTACTAATATATATATATGTATTTACTTGTAAGTATATAATTTTTTTATTTTTTTACCTTTTTAATTTTTCTACGAATACCCCCAGATATTATATACTTGTTATAGCTTTCGCTTCTAATACCGTTGTTTTGTTTGTTATCTACATGAGCGCAATAATTTCAGCGAATTATTTATCTTCTGAGTGAGTAAATCCATTCCAGGCTTTAAAAATACTTTTTTTTTACTAACTGTATTGCTAACAACATGACAAATATCCACACTGCAATTGAAGCAGAATTGTTTCATTATATTTTATTCCATGTCATTTTATATTGTTTAACTGTATTCTATTTTATTTATTTTTCGTTTTAAATTATATTATATTATATTTTATTTTATTTATTTTTGTTTAACTTGATTTTGTTTTGTTGTGCTTATGCCATATTGGTTTATATATTTTGTTCTGTTTTACGTCACTTAGGTTTATTAATTTTAATTAATTAAATTTAATTTTAGCTTTATTTATTTTATTTGATTGGTTTTACTTAATTCAACTTTGTTGCATTTATTATTACTTTATTTATTTTTTATTGCTTTATTTATTTTTTTGGTAAATTTATTTTAATATTATTTTATTTTATTAAATTCATTTTACCTTTTTTTACCTATTATATATTTCTTCTAATTTAAGTTCATATTTTTAATGTTTTAGTTAATTTTATTCTTTTTTATTTAGTTTCTGTATTGTTTTATTTAGTTAAGTTTCCTTTTATTTTTATTCTCTCATCTAATTTAATTTTATTTCACTCTAATATATTTTATCTTACTTCATTTTATATTAAATATATATTATTTTAATTATTTTAATATTACTTTGTTTCACTTTATTTTATTTTATTTTCTTTTACTTTATTGCATTCATTTTATTTTATTTTGTTTTATTTTATCTTATTATATTTTATTTGTATTTATTTTATTTTATCACATTTTATTTTACTTTATTATATCTTATTTGTATTTATTTTATTTTATCACATTTTATTTTACTTTATTTTATTTTATTTTATTTTATTTTATTTTATTTTATTTTATTTTATTTTATTTTATTTTATTTTATTTTATTTTATTTTATTTTATTTTGTTTCATTTTATTTTATTTTATTTTATTTTATTTTTTTCATTTTAAATTATTTTATTTTAAATTATTTTATTTTATTTTATTTTATTTTGTTTTATTTTATTTTATTTTATTTTATTTTATTTTGTTTTATTTTATCTCATTTTATTTCATCTTATCCTATTTTGTTTTGCTTTAATTTATTTTTTCATTCACTTTATCTTATTTTATTGAATTTTTTTTATTTCATTTCGTATTATTTTATCTTATGTTTTATTATTTTCTTTCATTTTATTTTATCTTATCTTATTTTATTTTGTTTTGTTTTATTTTAGTTTATTAGAATTTTCCGATTTATCATTTTTCATTTGCTTTATTTTATTTTTATTTTCTCTTATTTTGCTCTATTTTTGTTTAATTTATTTAATTTTATTTGATAATATTTAATTTAATTTAATTTTATTTTTTTATTTCATTTTATTTTATTTTACTTTATTTAATTTAATATTGTTTTATTTTATTTTCACTCATTTCAGCCTAATTTATTTTATCTTATTTTATTAGATTTTTTCTTTTCTTTTATTTTATTTTATTTTTTTTTTCTATTTTTGTTTAATTTATTGTATTTTATTTGACAATATTTAATATTATTTTCTTTTACTTTATTTTATTATTATTATTTTTTTTAATTTCATTTTATTTTATTCTGTTTTTTTTCATTCTATTTTATTTTACTGCAATATATTTTATCTTACTTTATTTTATATCAATTTAACTAATTTTCTTTTATTTTATTTAATTTATTAATTTATTTGTTTATTTTTTATAATTGTACTTTAATTAATTCATTTAATTTTTTTTATTAAGATATATTTCACCGCAATGAACTTCCTACCCCTCACTCACTTATACCAATCGAAATAAAATCGCCTTGAAATTTTGCGCTCAAATTAAAAAGAAATTAAAGAAATTGAAAATCATTTTTAACCAATTATGCTATAAAAATTTTGATTTTTATGTATATATGTGTTTCCATAATCGTTTTCATTTACCAAAAATAAATTCACGAAAACACCAACAATTTGAATTGTGTACGTATGTGTATGGGTGCGCACAGGCTATGAGTGCAAAAGTCCATCGATTTCAAAATTACGAAATACACATTTAATGTTGTGCTTATATGTATGTATATAGTAAAGACGTTACAATGATTTAACATTTTTTTCCGCAGCGCATCAAAGACACAAAACTGAGATTCGTTTTAGTTATTAAAGCAGCGTTGGATGATTACAAGCGCATACGTTCTCTTCCTTTGCGGGTACAACTCAACTGCTTTCTTTTGCCTTTGTTTGTCTGCAAAAATCAATTTGCTATTACAGCGACACTGAGAGGTTTCTATTTTTTAATAACCGTTTTTAATGGACAAAGCAGCTTCTTTCGTCATTTAGTTTTTGTTTTCGTCCATTTCTCTTTCGTCTGTTTTAACACATTCAAATTTCAAGAAAAAGTACCATTTTTATAATAATTTTCTTTCGCTTTGTATTTCTTTCAAAAATTCATTACTTTTTGCTAATTTCTAATATTAATGTACAATTTATTTTAGCTACAAAAATTCACTTGGATAAGCGTGAAAATTCATTACGCTTATTTTCCCTCTAAACATATACGCACATACATGTGTATGATGTACGTATTATTGTATGTTTTGACAAAAAAACTTACATTAGTTTAGTATTCATATTTCTTTTTATTTGTGATATTTAATATAACTCGCATTTCGCTATAATTGCGTAAAAGTATAAGGCTTGTGAAACGCAATTGGCCCATTCATGCAAAGCACCCTCTGCCATGGCTTGGGGGCTCCAAAACAGCTACAAATAACTGTAAATATTCTATACACGATCAAAATTTAAATATTCCATATACCATAAATGTATAATAAAAATGATTTTGGACATTTTGGCTTTTCAGCCGGAGTAAAAAAGCTCCACGATGCATGTGTCAAATACTCATATTTCATAAGTATGTATGTATGTATATAAAAAAATGCGGTAAGCACTTGGTGGCCAGGTTCAAATCCATCAATTATTATCCATTGCAAATACAAAAAAGAAATGTCAATTTAGAAAAACTGGTCTTTCACTTTCATCCTCTACAAAAGAGTTCATCCAAACTTCGAATGCATCAACAACTAACTGCAGCAGTTTTGTTTTACTTTGTTAAGCAATGTTTGGTGTACGACTATTAACGAAAGAGTATACTATATACGAAACACATATTTATGTATTTAAATATAATATTATTGTATAATTTTCTTTTCATTTTGCTTAATACACATACACATAATACATTCCTCTTTTGCTTACTAGCAGAATATGTCTGTTTTGTCTCCGATTACAATTTTCTCTCAGCGAATTTTTTTTTTAGCACGAAAAAACTATTTGTAGACATAGTACATATATAATTTGAAATAACATTGTATATATATATATATAATTTTTATTTAAATTGTTGTTATTGTTGTAGTTGCTGATTTTTCTATCATTGAACTTTTACAAAACGCATTTCTATCTCTCCATTGTCGACCAAAGGTACGAATAAACGTTGAAGTATAACACACACGAATGTGCCTACAAACGGCTGATCTGCTAAGGTGCGCTGACGGCGACCACGAAGAAGACAACAAAATTTCAATACATTATTTTCCTCATCATCATTATCATCATCAGCAAAACCTTATAATACATACATATATTATAGAAAACATCGAGTGTGATTGAAATCGTGCAACATCTACGCATGCATACATCCATTAGTTTATATAACATAAATATCTACAATTTTTCTTTTCCCTTTAAAATTAGTCAATACTCTAATTGCTTTCCTTTTTGCTTTAGTTGTTATTGTTAAACCGCAAATCGTTTAATTTTCACTCTCAGTAGTTGCTGCTGTTGTTTTTGATGAGTCTGCTGCATCTGTTGCTGCTGTAGATACTGTTGCACTGTTAACTGTGATTTTAGGTGTAGCTGAACTACCTTCAACGCCTTCGATTGTTGTACAGCTGTCATCTGAACTGGAAGCAGTTGCTGCTGCTGCTGCTGCTACTGCGGTCGATATATCTAATGCCGGCTGGTTGGAGTTGTTGGTATGTGGGTTGCTTTTGTTGCTGCTGCCACCATCCGTTTCGTCGGCTGTTTTTCCGTCGCCAATATTGGTCTTTGCTGTCTCATCAGTTGGAGTTTCCTGCAGGAAAATAAACGAAAATTCATTTAGATTTTAAAATCTTAAACAAATACGTTTGCTTCAATAAGCAATAAAAAAATGAAAATATATGCATTCAACACAGAATAGAATGTAAAAGAGAGAGAAATAAAACATATAAACATTTAATGATAGAAATCAAAATAAATCCTATAAAATATTAATAAAAAAAAAAATAAAACGAATAAAAAAAAACTTAAAAAAAATAAAACTAATTAATAAAAAAATAAATACAATAATAACAAATAACAAATAACAAATAAAAAATAATAAAATCAAATAAGAAAAGTTTCACAAAAAAAATTAAATATAAAATAAAACAACTTAATAAAAAAAAATAAAAATAAATGTATATAAAATTAAATAAAAAAAAATACTTCAGTAAAATAAAATATAAATGAAATGAAATAGAAAAACAAATAAAACAAAATAATTTGAATGCAATTAATTTAAGTTAAGCCGCAAAAATAAAAAGCTGTGAGAACCTAATAAAAAAAAAAATTCGCGAAAACCATAAGTGCAACAAGCAAATTAAAATTAGATAAATCAAAGCAGAGCATTCGCCCTCACCAATTTTGGTTCAACTCGCTGACGTTCATGCATCGCATTTAACAATTCGCGCAAATGCTGATTCTCCTTGCGTAGGCGTTCACGTTCCATGTCGCGTTCATTGATCTTTGGCTAAACATGGGAGCGGAAGGAAATATAAATGTATAAGTATTTGGGAATGTTATTTGGAAACAACAATAACAATAATTATAATGTGACAATTTTATCATGAGCTCCACCCCCCGCGCAGGGTGTTGTCGTGGTTAATTAGGTACCGCCAAACTTACCAAAAGTAATGAGATTTGCGAATTCAACGAGCTGACAATCGTATTCAGTGCATGACAGGGCACGCTCGGCTCCAGCGAGTTGGCGTGTTGAATGCGATTAGGTCCACAGTGAACAGGAAGATTGGTATTCGTGCCATTGATGATTGCGGCGTTTGTGGCCAGCGCTGCTAAACTCAGTGCCAATGGTGGTGTGGTTTGCGTAGAGCTGTCGACCATGGCCAAAACGCTATTCAGCTTGTTATTAAGTGTAGACTGTGAGGAAGAATTGTAAATCGAAAGGATATGCTATTAGTAAATAAATCAGTTTTGTGATATTTACAAAATCATACCAAAGTTTCATAGGCGTCGTTGACTTCCATATGTTCTTCAGCATTGGCATTACTTGCTGCTGTAGTTTCAACAGATTCTGCTTTTGCTGTTTTGTCTACAGTTTCATCCGATTTCTTGGATACATTCGCTTCTATGGCGTTGGCATCATTACTGGCTGAAGTGGTTTGGGATGATTCACTTTCGGCTGTTGTTGTTGTTGTTGTTGTTGTTTTATTATCTGTTGTTTTGCCTTCGTCGGGCTCGATATTATCATTTTCCTTTTCTTCATTCTCCTCCTTAACCTCTAACTTAACCTTTTCAAGTTCTGCCTCAGTATTTTCATCAGTTTTTGATTGTTCTGGTTTGCTATCTGCCGTGTCTCCTTTATCGCCCTTGTGTTTGTTGCCTTCCTCCTCGCCAGCAGTCGGTTCGCTCACTTTGTCTTCATTTAACGCTTGTGTAACTTCATCGGCAGACTCTTCAGGAATGCTGTCGGCGCTAATCGTACTCTGACGCTTCACCAATTCAGCTGTGTTTGCTTGGGCCACAGCATTTGCAGGTATACATGTTTCCTCCGCAAGTGTCGTACTTGTGGTTGCTGCATCAGTAGAACTCTTCTCCTCCGGTTGCTGTTGTTGTTTAGGAGTTGCCGTTGCTGGTGGCGGTGGTAAGGGCGGTGGTTTAAAACTGCCAGCTGGGGGTGGTAAAGGTGGTGGTGGCGATGAAGCTCTGTTCGCTTTCGATGCCAGTGTCGGCGGCAAGGCCGGTAAACGTAGTTCGTCGATCTCACAATAGCCGTCGTCGTCTTCGTGTATGTCCTCGTCGAGCAACGCATTCTGCAAAACAGTGCGCACGCTACTTGGCGTTCTGGCGGTGGGCGTCTGCTGTTGGGCAGTTTGCTTATTTGGTGGCGGTAGTGGAGGCGGTATGTCTGCCGATGTAGTCGCGGTAGATGCACTACCACTCGCTGCGATTTGTGTTGTTGTCGACGAACCGGTCGAGTTCATTGTTGACGTTGAAGATGAATTTGACGATGTGGCCGTGAGCGGAGTCAGCGGTCGGTGACTAAGATGATGTTGTTGCTGCTGCTTTTCATGGCATAGATCGCAAACTGCTGTAGATACAGCGGATACTTCCTGTTCGTGCGTCGCATGCATATACTCATTGAGTACTTCGGTTAGCGATTGAACTTGTGCGTATGCGGCCAACGCAATGTCGGCGCTGTCTTTGGGCGCTTCCGGCATTGCCGCAATGTCAACAATCTCATGGAAGTGCTCAACCGGCAGCCGGAACATATCACAAATGATTTTTTGTTTCTCCAATAAACCGTCGCGTATGGAAGCGTCCAGTCGACGCAACCGCTCGGCTGGCGTGAGTACAGGTTCGGCGGTATGCGCCGGACTAATGCTAATTTGTATAGCGGTGGGTTCGACCAATGGTGGTGATGACTGCATCAATGTGCGTGTATTGTTGGAGTTATTTGAGTATACAATGCTGGCGCTGTCGCGTTTTGAGCCACCACTAGCGCTTGAGCTGAACTCATCTCCGCCAATGTCAGCATTATGACCGTTGGCTTGACGTGCCGACTGTGTGTGACGTAGAGTGACGCTTGAATTCTCATAGCCACCGTTATTGTTGTTTGGTTCACCGCAACTGCGTGTCGACATGGTGCGGTTAACCGCTGCCGATGTCGATGAAAGCGATGCGGTAGAGGCTGATGACATGGCGGCAGTTGAGGAGCCAATCGATGGCGATAGCTCATTGTGACTGAGACGCATTTTGTGGTCAGCACTGCCTGCGGTTGGCGTACTCTCGCGACGACCGTTTCGTAGCTGTACATTGTGGTGATCGTTATTGCTAATATTATTATTGTTGACATTTACCGAGGTTGCTGTAGCGACAGGCATCATGGGCGCCAATGGCGTAGTCGTCACGGTGGCAATAGCCGAGGCGGGCGGTGGCCGTTCGGGTGTGAGTTCAAGGGACTCCTTTGTATTGGAATGCGGTATGGTGGCGATCGCTGGATCATCGACTGGCTCATGATTGGCGTTCTTCGAGCGTGGTTTGTACTGTTCGGCGGCATCGGAAATGTGTTTGAACCACCTGTGGAGGAGAAAAAGGGGGAAGCAATTTATTAACAAAAAAATGTTTTTAAATCAGCAAAGAATATAAAATATTTCCATTCGAGGCAATCAAAAGTAGTAGATTGGATTTTGTGTATCAATTTTTAATTTATTTCTGTTTGAGCTCTACCTGGAAACCAGTGACGAACGACGTCCGCCGCCACTTGCATTGCTGCCGCCGTTAGCGGTGGCCTCATTGAAGCTGCCACGTCGACGCTCTTTTTTGCTTTGTGCTTTACTCGGCGTCACATTGAGACTGTTGTTGTCAGTGGCATTATGATGACTGCCCTTGTTGCTTGTTAATTGCAGCAGTGAACCGTTACAAAGGCTCTTGCGACGCACGCCGCTGAATATATCATCGGGCGAGAGGAAATTCATTTTCACCTGATCGAATTCAGTACGAATTGGATTTAGTTTTCAAATTGTTTGCGAACAGATCTTCAGCCAATGCTGTTTTATTCACTTCACATAAAAATTCATTTTGGATCTTCAAAAATTTTTTGGAATGCAATTTTCTTATTAAATAATTTATGTTCGGAAACTAAAAGTTCCAATGCACAACTTTATTCCGCTGAGAAACTATAGCATTGGAATTAAAGTTCTCCACCATCGACCACTGCACCATTGCGATTTAATTCTTTATTTATTACAGTTATATTTATATCGAAATTTATAAATATTAACTACCATTACAGCCAGCGATTAATGAGCTCGATAATTAAAAATGTGTCAAAATCGGCTGAAAAGTTCTGGGCCTAACACTTCGATGTCGCTAGTTTTATTACATTCACCGCTTTTTCAGTTATTACGAATCTTCAAGGAAATAATTTTTAGTTTTCTAGTATTCTACGCATAACTCTGTAAACCATGACGCTTCAAGCGAGGCCGTGGCTTAAAAAGCGACATAAAGACTGCGTTCCATTAGAAGCAAAAATAAATCCTAGGTATGCTGATTTGAAGCGTTTTCATAGAGACCGATGATGCAGAAACGCGTCCAAATCGTGGAGGTGTTAACAGAAAACGCCAAAAAAAAGGTCACAATGTTGGAAAAGTGAAGTAGAACTAAGATCATAAAAATATCAAAAGAACTTGTTGCCTTTAATATTGCATGAGCATTTGACTATGGGAATATTCTCTTCGAAGTAACTGCCGCGTTCGCACACTGTTAACTCAAAACGAAAACGTGTTCGACCAAAATCTTTGCTTCGATAAGAAACTTCACTCCGGAATTAAATCGAGCATAATCAGAGTGCACAACGACTGATGAGCTTCGACTCAGGTGCAAAAAAGTACAACAAGCGGCTGGATACGTCATGACCTCAGCATTTTAAGATGTGTGTGGTGAAAATATTTGTAGATTATTTTCCATTAAATATTATATTATATATATATCAATAGCCGAGTACTTAGCAGTCCATTCAGAAATCCACCCTTCGATCCCTGCTGCGACCAACATCCATTGTATTGGATAAGTGCATAAGTTCGTTCCCGATTCCGCTGGATGCCGTTCGAATCGTTTGAGAGTGGCCCTCGTGAAAGAAATATATACATATTATATATCGTTGGAAAGATCCGAACTGTAAATCAAGCATAAAATAACTTCATTTTGATTTGAGTTGCTTAGTGAAAAGACGCATGGAAGATGGACAACGAAAAAGATCATGTGCGTCATATTATGTGATACGAATTCCGCAAAGGAAAAACAGTAGGCGCTGCAACTAAAGATGTTCGCGAAGTTTATTTGGACCATGCTCCAGCACTCCGCATAGTAAAGAAATGGTTCGCGAAATTTAGTTCTGGAGATTTTAACCTCGAAAATCAACCTCGCAGTGGACGGCCTTCTGAGCTTGATGACGATGTTCTAAGGACTTTAGTTGCGAATAACTCACGTATTTCGACGGAAGAGGTTGCCAGTGAATTGAACGTCAACAAATCAACTGCGTTTCGTCGTTTCATAAAGGTTGGGTACACTTTGAAGCTCGATACATGGGTGCCACATCAGTTGAGTGAAAAAAACAAAGTGGACCGTATGTCAACAGCAATTTCTTTGCTTCGACGGATCAAAGACGAACTTTTTTTGGACTTTTGTTTCGATCGCTGCAGAACAATTTGAATGGAAAAAAATTTAAAAATGTGGAAGACGTCAAAAACCACCTTGACACCTTTTTCAACGAGAAACCGCGCAATTTCTATGAATCAGGCATCCGTAAATTGGTTGAACGTTGGGAGTGGATTGCCGAACATGTTGGCGAATACATAATTGATTAATAAAAGCGCTTTCTTCAAAAAATTTCAATTTTAGTTTGCACTTGAAATCGGGCACGAACTTATGCACTCATCCAATAGTTATAGAAAGAGATGAAGGCAGTGAATGTCAAGCTTTTCGAGGAAATTTTTGTTATAAAATAAAAGACATCCATAAATATTCATCGGCCGTTCAGTGGCGGGTTAAAAGAATCTGTAGGTCTCTTCATATGGAGGAAGAAAACCCAAAAATATACGTTTGAAGGTCAAATTCCCAAAGAAATGACTACATATGGAAATTAAAAGAAAATTGCTTTGCCATCATGTTACAGGTGAAGCAAAACAATGGCAAAACTGCATGAATTGAACTAAGAATCTAAAAAAAATTCCCACCTTAAAGAAATTTCGATCGAACGAAGAGGTTATCACTGATATTGTGGACTTCGCGAAGAAAAAAGCCTTTTATATATTAAACATTCAATTTGATCGAAAATTTCAAAACAAACAAACACAATGGAAATGCTATCCCATTCAAAAGTCATTTGAATCAAATTTTTGAAAGCTGCTGCATCTGTTAGCTATCTCTCGCACATTCTGCTCACCCAACCCCTACGCTCTGCGTTGCACCCAAGCTGTTTGTGAAAACCACAAATTATTGAAGTCGTAGATAAATGCGTCCGTTGAACTGTGACATCGTTAGTCAATAAGCGTATAAATGAATGAACGATTTAAAGAGTTGCATAAAAGCCCACACATCGCATAATTTGCGCATTTAAGTGTTATTTTATGTATTAATAATTCGTTAACGATTTATCAGCAATAAGTGACATTTGGAATAAAAAATGAATAAAAAATTTGAATTTTGTTTAATTCAGCCATACAAAAGGCAAGCGAAAATCAAAAAAATTGGAAAATTCATTTTAATTTTTTCTTCATTAATTCCACACTAGATTAATATGTATTTATTATTTCGCATACCACGCCACGGCTTACAACGCGTTTCCTTTTTTTCAAATTATCGCAATTATTTATTTATTCTCTCATAAATTTATGTTTGCGAAAGTGAGTTTTCATTTTCAGCGAATTCCATGAGTGCATGAATGCACAACAACAGACAACAACAGGCATGTGAGGGGTGTACACGAAATAAGATCGATTTTTATTTTCCTCAATATATATTTTTTTATTCATAAATTTGCATTTTAATCTCTCCTAAATAGACAACCTCAGATGCAATGTGCTTTTGTTTGTTTGTTTGTGCTGATATGCATTTTTTGTATGTACTTGAGCTTTTTCAACCATTCTTTTATTTTCGAAATAGTTGCCGTAATATGTACTTTTTGCAAACTTGGGTAAAGTGTTTTCAAAATTACATGTCTTTTTGGGAACTCGAGTTCATTTCAGCAAATGCAGCAATTAATTTTTTTATTAATCGTCGAATATACCAAAATCGATAGCCAAAAAATCACCTTATTTTTTGAGCTCTACGAATAACTCACGAATCAATTCACAGCTCAAATTACTGATCGCAGAGAGCGAAATCTTGTAGGGAAACCGATCTACCTAAAAAAACGTAATTACAGATCGATTTGCTTGACATTTTAAATATATTTTAGAGAGTTTTCTGTCTAGGCTAATGTGTAGAAAACTTTTTTTTGAGGAAAGGGGACTAAGTGGATCTATTAGAAAAAATTCTATTCGGAGTCCGATTTATTTTCCGATATATTGTTATATTTTATAAGTACCTAAATTTTTATAAATATAATTTTTAGTACTTATAAAAATATTGCTAAAAATGTATATAAATGACGCTTTGTATCTGCTGAAGCGATTTTTTTTGCTTTAAGGATGGAACAACAATTTATTCTAAATCACCTTCAAACGGCTGCAGGATTTTTATAAGCAACTTTTATTTCATGGGTCTTGATAATCTCTGCCCCGGAGCGACTCCATTTAATCACAGAAAATAATTTTTTTTTTAAATTATTATACTATTATTTTGAAGTTGGTCTCATCATGGTTCCATGTATTCGAACTCTCCGCATGGTAAGCAACACGCGCGCTAACAACTTTGCTACCGTTACCGCAAAAAAGGTGTCTGCATAATATGCAAGTATAAATTTACATACACGTATATACGAACACACATACTTTTTTCTGCATGAGTGTTACTCTCCCACACAATGTAGTTGCAATTGAAGTATTATATGTATATAGTGTATATTTGTATGTATGTCTACTCAATTGTAAGTTCAAAAAATCCCGAACCTTCATTAATATTTGATTTTCTGCATGCATTTGTATGCAAAACTAACAAAGAGCATCGGAGGTCTGCTTTCCTCGAATTCACACTGCAAACATACAGATGTCATATATAAATAATATATGTATACATATGCATGTCTGCTTTTACGTTATATTAAATACATACATATATTTACTTTCGTTTACATTTGTTGGAAATTCATGTAAATTTGGGATTTTCGCTTTGATCATTTTTATTAAAAGGCAGGTGTGGGTGTAGGGTGTAGAATGCGAGCTTTCACCCTTTAAAAAAAATTAAAAAAAAACCAAAAACTGTAATAAAATTGATATTTTAATGCCTTTTAGTAATAGTTTAAATTTGTTTTGAGATTCAGGTTTTTTTTTTATAATAATTACTTGTATTCGACACAGAAAGAGAATCAAAGTAAGAAGATAAAGTTCCATGTCATAGAAAAAAAAACGCTAAGATGA